GGTGATCCCCGCCGATGGTGTACCTAAGCCAGCAGAGGTCGCCCAGGTGCACCAGAGTGTTCGGTCCTATGGGAACGGATGTAGTTGTTCTGCTGGGTAGTGGGGGCCTCCGGCATGCTGGTAGGTGACCGTCTGTGCCGCCGTGGTAGAGAGAAGGAGGGAACCACCCATCGAGCCGTCAATGGGGGTGGGTCCTAATGATGTGCCGGATTTCCTGGCAGACATTTAAGGCCCAGGAGCCTGGTGCTGAGCAAAGTAGAGCCAGCGAGATCGACGCTGTGCGGAGTTGCCAATCGCCCCCGACCTCTTCGAGGCCTCCTGAGTCTTCGTATGACCAGATTTCAGGTAGGCCTGCAGCGTGGGCCACCATATGCCTCCAGGCTCCCAGGAGTTCACCCACGAGCCACGTTGGGGTGAAGTCGGAGGGGCCAGGCGGGGTTGGGGAGTAAAGGTGCTCAGCGATTGGGGCGTATCGCATGCCCGCTTTGACGAGCTGAATCAGCAGGGTTCCGCCCAGGAGGTCGAGGGCGTGCCTGTTAGGTGGCTGGCCAAGGTCAGCTCCTGGGTGACTCTGAGGTGAGGCGTCTGCTCGCGGCTCCTCTGGGTTGTAACTCCAGGGGCTGGCCAGTCTGTGGCAAGTGATACAGGTTTGTCCTGTGGGATCTCGGAGCACCCAGGTGCCGCAGAAATTACATCTCTCTCCTGGGCAGAAAAAGTCCCGCAGCCGCAGTCTGTGAGCTGTGGTGGACCATGGCCACGCGTCGTCGCTGCTGTCGCTTCCTTGGATGGGGACTCCAGGGACGCCCGCGGAGCTGGCGGGCATCCCCGAGAGGGCGGCCTCTACCCATGGGACTGGGCCTCTACCCGCTTGTCGTCTCGAGCGCACATCACTTCCCATACGCTCGAGGTTCCCTCTCGTGATGGCCCACTGCCTGACGTCCCCATGGTCCGGAAAGTGGACTATGTTTTGTCTGCGCTCGTGAATCAGGACTCGATGGGCGTAGCCCATGACCTCGTCATCCATGAGGTCCTGCGCCCCGTCTGCTCGATTGGGGCCACTGAAGTGCAGGGGGGCAGGGTCCTCAAGGGATCTAGTGGGCATGAGCATCCTATCTGTGTCAAATCCGCTCCGGAGCTCCATTCCTATGTCGCAGTAGTGTGCACCTGCGGCCATGGCAACGTACTCGAGCCGTGCTAGCTGCCTCTCAGTCACTGAGGGGTTGGCTGCATCCAGTCTTTCCCTCCTTATACTGGGATCATGAGCAATGCTCACACAAGCGGAAGGCGAGGACCTGGACTGGGTCCGGTTGAACGCCTCCCAGACGCCCCTCATAGTCTCCTCCAGCGATGGACCATACTAGCCAGGTGTGGTCCAGGATAGCGAGAATTGGGGCTGAAGTGGCGATCTCAGAGTAACGTCCAGGGAGGGCTGGTTCTACAGGAGCCGTGCGCATGGGGCTGTCGGCTCGTATGCCTGGGTGGCCTGGGCGGTGCCTCCTCCACGCGTGGTGCATGAGGAGCTCCAGGTTGCTGGTCTCACGAGATGTTCTCGGCGCTCCGCGGTTGGGGACCTCGCGCCATGGACCCTCAGTGCGCACAAGGTGCCGGCGTAGTGCCCTCATGGTGCCCCCCCTGCCGGAGATCCTGGCGTCTGCAACGCGCGGGCCACCGATGGGTCCGTCCGCCTCCCGGCTGGCCGCCCAGTCAGCATTCGCGTGCCCAGTGGCGCCCAGCCACCGTACGTGGAGGTCCGCAGCGCTTTGCCCTCTACTCCTCAGCGCTTGGCTGGGGTCGTCAAGGTCTGAGGGGGTGGGCGGGTTCTCCATTCGCAGCCTATCTTCCAGGGCGAGATCTGGGGATGGGTAGGAGGGGGGGTCCGTGAGGACGGGACCCCTGTGGGCCGTGTGGCTGACCTCGAGGGGCGAGCCGCTGCCCGTCCAAAGAAGAGGCCCACGCTCTCTGCCCTGTGACGAGTAGTCAGGTCCACGACGGCATTCACCGAGCGCAGCGTTAAGAAACTCGAGCCCAAGGGGCGGGTCAGGAGGGAAAAAGTCGGGGGAAGAGCTGGTGGACGAGGGAGGAGAGGCACGAGGAGATCCAGCGACCGGGATCGGAGACCTAGCCCGATCGATCCGATCGACCTGGGGAGCGGACCCGACCGCGGGATCGGAAGCAACCCTGGGGTTGCTGGGCGAACGAGGAGGCCCGTCAGGCCTTCCAACAGCCAATCCCATGGCGAGACAGAGGCGATCGATCATCCCTGTGGAGGAGGCGTCTCCCTGCGATCACTGGAGCCGGGGACCCCCAGCTCTCGCCCCCCTCCCTCCGGCGCGAGGCAAGGCCCGTGGCCTGCTCCTGAGAGGCAACGGGAGGCCGCGGTATCAGTGTGTATACTGACGACGCTCTCCCGCCCCGCCTCTGCGGGGGCTGGGTCACAGGTCATGTCTTTCCTCTGCCAACGATCCCTGGGTTGAACGCCGTGCGCCTCTCTCTGCGTGCCGTCGTCCGGTCCAGGGTAGCGACGGAAGGTCGCACGTTCTGTGTGTATCGCGGGGGGGAGAACCTCGCCCCCTCCTACAGCGTCGCGCCTAGCGCTCTCGTCTCCAGCGGGTCGACTGGAGGCGGCAGCGCTAGGGTGCACACAACCACCGCACCCCCGTCCAACCCCCGCGGGGGTAGGGCCCCTGGTCCTTACTCCCACATCCGACTGATCCCCAGGTCGAACGCCTTGGGTCTCATCCAGCCTTCCGCCATCCGCTCCAGGGTAGCGACGGAAGGTCGCACGATTTGTGTGTATATCAAGGATGTCTACATCCCCTCCTTCTCCAGCATTATCCCTGCCGCTCTCGGGTCCGCGGGAGCGGTCGACTGCTGCATCGGCGGCGGGATGCTCTTCACGGGTAGAGGGCATGGCTCCACCGCTTAGCTCGCCATCGGGCACGGCCTCACTCAGCGCGGGCACGCCCAGGAGGGGGGGTTCGGCGGTGGGTTGGCGTGAGCCTTGATGAAGCGTGCCGGGGCTGCGGGCAGCGACTTGCCCGCCCCTGTCGCCCATGCCCTCGTGAGCGTCCCCTGAGGGCATCAGCTCCCTGAGCGCACCACCCGAGTCAACCTGGCCCCTGGGAAGACCGCGGCGGATGCTTATCTGTCCATCGTCAGTTGACCTAAGCGAGACTGGATCCGTGGGAAGGTTTTGTACCGAAACGAGGCCCTCTCCCCCCGTAGCCCTGGCACTGCCTAGGGCCGCTTCACTCTGTCCGGCAGCGCCTGGAGAGAAAGAAATTGGACGTCCTGCAGCGGGCATGGGAGCGGTGGGGGTGAGAGAGGCGGTTGGGTTAGACAGGAGGGCTTCGTGCCCACGGTCATCGCATCCAGGGGAGCGACGGAAGGACGCAGCGTCGGGTTGCCTTCTGCCAACGTTGTCACGACCGCCCCCCACGGGGGCCAGCTCCCTGGTGCATTCTTCCCCTACACACCGTTCCCTGGGCTGAACATCGCGGGCGTTCCTCTGCCCGTCGCAGTCCGTTCCAGGGTAGCGACGGAAGGTCGCACGTTCTGTGTGAATTGTGGGGATGGCCGCGCTACCCCCTCCTTCAATGCTGCGCCTGCCGCTGTCAGGCCCCTGAGGGTGGCCTGGGGTGGCGCCAGCGTCGATGTGCGCGCCGTAACCTGAGGACACGTCTTCCATGCTCGAACCGTCGCGGAGAGCAGCCTCGCTCGGGGCGGCCGCATCCAGAGAGGGGGGCACGGCGGAGTGAAGGCGAAAGCCCCTAAGATGCGCGACGGGGCCAAGGCGACGTGACTGCCCGTCTCCCCCCATTTTGCCTTCATGGGCGCCTGCTGGGGGCGTCGGGCCCATACAGTCCCCATCCACGCCATCGAGGCCCCTGCGTCGGGAGCCGAGGGCAACTCCCAGCTCGTCGCGGAACTGTCCGAGAGGAGGGGGGTTCGTGGGAGAATAACCCGCTTTAGGAGTGGGCCCTTCGGCCCCCGTGAACCTAGCATCGCCATGGGCGGTCCCGTTATGCCCAGCGTTGCCTGGAGAAAAGAATTGGGCGTCCAGCCGTGGGCAGAGGAAGAGTGGGGGCAAGGGAAGGGTAGCTGGGCGGGAGGGCCTCATGCCTGTCATTATTAACTCCAGGGTGGCGACGGAAGGTCGCGCTTTCAGTTTGAAACGGAGGGTTGAACGTATCACCCCCGTCTACCGCTGCGCGTCCGCCGATCTCAAGTCCAGGGTAGCGACGGAGGGTCGCACGTTCGGTGTGTATCACAGTGTTGAGGGGATCAGCCCCTACCTCCGATTGGCTGGGGGCCATCTGTCCTCGTGTACCCGAGGCATCGGCCGAAACGCTCCCATTCCAGGGAATAGGGGGCGACGGATGCCCCGGCGGGATGGTGTCCTGAGATCCAGGGCGAATATGTCCTGAGTCATTTGGCCCAGTGGTCCCGAGGCCGACATCGGATGACGCGGCTCTTTCCCCCACAGGGATGACAGGATTGTCGCCGATCGATCGCAAGCTATCAGGCCGACCATCCATGAGGCAACTGCCTTGATCCGATCTGAGCCGCGGGCCGCTGAGCCCGTCTGCGCGGCGGGAAGGCTGCAGCAATGGCTGGCGCGCCCAGGGGCCGGTGGGGGTCCAGGGCCGCGGGCCCCCGGCGCAGCGTCTGGGCGCCCCCTTGGGCGGCGGGAGACTGCCCCAGAGAGGACAGGCCCACCAGACGGCTTGAGCCAGAGGCTACGGTGGGGGTGGGGATACGCGAAACGTCAAGAATTTCCTCTTGAAGCTACATCCCGATGGCCGCGAAGAACTTGCTCTTTGCGAAGCAGCAAGCTAAATTCAGGACCCAAAAGCTTTGAGCTGAAGACACGGAAACCTTCTGAAGGCTTCGTCCCTTACGAATCCACTCTTTCCTAGTGTGCTCCCGAATGACACGGAAATTCAGCCGTCGGAAAGTAAATCATCTTGGCCAAGAGAAATGCACGGTGCAAAGCTGGCCTCCGCCAGTTTCATGAGCTCGCCGATGAACATGACACTGTGGACAGCAAGGCACGTGCCGCGGAAGAAAAAAATGCAACGGAGCAACATTTCAACGGAAAGAACGCTCAAAACATTGTTGGAATATCCGAGGACACGCAATGACACGGCAGCGCACGCTTATCAATCAGGCTCTTCTCCACAAAGTGACAGTACCATGAAGGATGAAAACTGGCGCAAGACAAAGGACAGAGGAAAACCATGGACATGGATCCGGCCCCAAGTGTGATGAAACAAGGCGGACGGAATCCAGCGGATACTAGATCCGTGAAAGTATGCTTGAAGACAAGCGCCCCTGCTCCGTCGTATCGCTCACTCCTGACCTAACCCGTGTGTTCAGGAGACGGGTGAGGAGCTGGAAAGGAAGGAGAACGGAGGAGGAGCAACAGGAGGAGAAGAGGACGAGGAGGGAGGGAGGGAGGGAGGAAGGGGCAGCAGGCAGGCAGGCAAGAGCTGCGCCCTGACGGCGCATCGGCAGAAAAATAACAAGCTGAAGACATACCTGAAGAGACACATGCATTGAAAATTACGTGCAGACGCCGAGCCAATACAGTGCCTCGGAGAGCAAGCGCTGGACCCTCGACAGCGCAGGCAGAAAATGTGGCATCCTCGAAGTCGTGCCGTCCCCTGTCATCTCGTCCTGGCGCGGGCGCGCGCACTCGCGCGCGAGCGTTGCGGGGACGGAGGACCAGGAGCGGCACCAGGGAGAGAGCGGGGGACGCGAAAGAGGAAGGAGGAGCAGGGGAAAGAGCAGGAGGAGGAGGGGAAGGAGGAGGGGGACATGTTTGGGACTGCAGCGAGTTTGCGCCAACGGCATGCCTCAATGGAGGAGGAGGAGGAGGAGGAGGAGGAGGAGGAGGAGGAGGAGGAGGAGGAGGAGGGGGAGGGGGAGGAGGAGGAGGAGGACGAGGAGGAGGAGGAGGAGGAGGAAGAGGAGGAGGAGGAGGAACAAAAAAAGAGGAGGGCTTTGGCCCCACGTGACTTTTCCCCGTCCTCGCCCCTCATCGGGCCACGGCTCCTCACGCGCGCAGCGATGCTCCGTACAGATGTACCCAGCGCGACCCCAACGAAGGGGAAAGCTTCCTGTTGCACGGGCGCATCGCTCGGCATTGCACGGCATTGCTGGGCATTGCTCGGCATTGCTTGGCATTGCTCGGCATTGCTTGGCATTGCTGGGCATTGTTTGGCGTTGCTTGGCATTGCTTGGCATTGCTTCGCATTGCTTCGCATTGCTTGGAACGGGCGCAAGAAGAATACGAAGCACGGGGGGCGGGGAACCCGGGGAACCCTGGGAACCCGAGGGACCCGGGGAACCCGAGGGACCCGGGGAACCCGAGGAACCCGGGGAACCCGAAGAACCCGGGGAACCCGACGGGCAACGGGCAACGTAACAATAAGAGGCTCCGGGGGCGGGGAACCCTAGGAACCCGGGGAACCTGGGGAAGCCGCGGAACTGGGGGACCCCGCAGAACCTCTGAGCAAGCGGCAATGTAAGAATGAGGCACCGAGGGCGAGGAACCTGGGGTACCCGAGGAAACCAGGGAACCTCCGAGCAATGGGCAACGTAAAGATCCGAAGCACCAACCTTCAACCAAGTAAGAAACCCCTCGGCAAGCCAAATTAGAAAACTGCGGGCTCCAGGATGGCGGGCGTGGGAAAGAAGCAATGGCCCGATCGAGCGCATCTTGCCGAGGCGCGAGCTTTTGCCCTTCCCCATGCCCTCCCTCCTCTCGACCCCTGCCCTGCCTCCCTTCCCCTCGCCCCCTGATCCCCCTTCCTCCCCTTTCCTCGCCTCGTGTCCTCCCTCCTCCCTCCTCCTCGCCCCCTGCCCTCCCTCCCCCAATGCCTCCTCCCACCCCCTTGGCCTCCCCACCCCCGAAGTCTTGCAGTGCCCACTGCGCCGGTGACGCGGTGTCGTGAAGGGAGTCCCTCACAACTGTTGGCGAGGCGGCATCTGCGGGGGCTCTGGTCTTTCGCGGGGAAAGGGGGCCTTCCCCTGTCCACCTGTGGATCCCCCAGCCCATACTGAGGCGATATGTCTCGGGTTGCCCCCGGGATGCCGCGCTGGTCGCGGGGGTTTTCGGTTCGCGGGGTGTCTTCCAGCAGCCGCGCCTCCCCGAGCGCCCACGACGGCCGCCCGAAGCCTGAGGTGTGGCCCGACCACCAGCCTCGCCCGTCCATGGCCATTTTCGGGAGCGGCCAAGAGGGGGGTGTCCAAGAGGGGGGGGTGCAAATCATGACCGGCGGCATGTGCGCGCCCCAGCGGGGGGGCCAGGGACGTAATGAAACAAGAAGAGGCGCCATGAAATCTGGGGAAATACCATGGCCCCCGCCATGATATCCACCCCCCCCTAGTCATCACCCCCCTCTTTTCCGCCCATTTTGAAGGGGCCCTGGGACACACAAATAAATACACACAAATACAAGGATTCCCCATATTTTCCCATATCTTCTGGGTGTTTGTCCTCCCACCACTTCCCATCTTTTCCTATCTTTTCTGGGGAGTCGACGATTCATTGTGTCTGTGTTTTTTTCCCTCCCGACATTTGGTCGGGGAGACGTAAGACCCGGGTACGGGGGACTCGGAAATCCCCGACGAGGTCGTCAAAAAAAAGACGAGGCCGAGCCTGCATTTTGACGAGGCCTCCCGCTGCAGACATCCCGCGAAACTCCTCCTCGTCAAAATCCGAGGCGCGGTCGTCAAAAAACGATGGCGAACCCGAGTCCTGGCAAACCCGGGTCTTACGCTCCCCCGATGTGGGCTCAAAGAGCAACCAAGGCGGAGCGGCCGGGACGGCGCGGCGGAAAAAGCAGCCGGGGGGGGCGCCGCGCGCCAGCGCCCGCCAGCCGAGTGGGCAAAAGGGGCCCCGGAGGCTGGGCCGCGGGCGCATCGCAGGCGGCCGAGGAAGCATCGGAAGACCCAGCAGCCCGCAAGGCCGCCGATCGGGCCGGGCGAAAGGGGGGGATTGGGACCCCCCCCCCGAAATGAGACCCCCCTCCCTTTATTACGAAATCTGGAGTACCCTGTCTTCGCAGCTCACATCGGCATATCCGGCCGCGCGCAGAGGGACGGAGGCGGTGCCCCGGCCGAGGCACCGCGCAACGGCCTGCCGAGCGCCCAACTCCCGCCTGCGCGCGGCACAAGCTGCTCGGGCCCGGCGAAAGGGGGGGATTGGGAAAGGGGGGGTTACGAAATTTGCTGCATGCAGCTGAGTTCGGCCTCACCACCCAGGGGCCCATTCCTCGATACATGGTCGCCTCCGGCGCCGGGAGGCGCCGGGAACATCAGCCACGCGAGCTGATTCTCAAGCCCCCCTTTGCTATCCCCCCCTTTCGCCCGACCCGAGCCGAGGGCTGGCGCGGGCCGAGCCCCGTCGTCAAACAGCTAAGTGGACGACGACAACCTGCCCTTTGAAGACCAGAATAAAACCTTCGCGCGAGTCGCCGGCGGCGAGCTTGACATCGCGGCGGCGTCGCCGGCACATGCGAGATAGAATGGGAACGTCGGGGACGACTGCCACCATGGTGTTCCGCTGGACAGCGGAGAGAACCCAGATGTGAAAACAAGCACTCCTTCATGCCGCAGGCTGCGCGCAGACGGGAGGCGGCCAAACACATCGCCATTACGCTCCTTCGGCGGAACATGATCCGGCGCGTGTCTACACAGGCGATGCCCAGCCACATTTCAACTGGCCAGACATTGACATGGGTATTAAAATTGTAGCGAGGGGACTGGGTTCCCGTTTCCGTTCCCCTCGCGCTGTCCGACGAATTTTCCCGAGTTGTCCGACGCCCCTGAATTCCACCCCATTTGTCGAGGTTTTCCCACTCGACCTTCCCGCCCCCACACCTTGAGCTGGCCGACGTCCCCCACGAGCTCCCCCCCCCTTTTTCTCAAGTCCCCTACCTCGAGCTCACCGCTGTCAACCACCCCCGAGCTGTCCGACATTCCCCCTTCCAGGTCCACGCAGGTCTCGACCGACACCCTTACCCGACACGGACTCGCAGTCAACCAGACCAAGACACAGGCATGGTCCGCGGGGGGGCACGGCCATTTGCCCGCCTCTGTCCTGGAGCGCTGGGTCGACCACCTCACGCGTTTGGGAAATACGGCCCGCTGGCTTGAGCAAGGGAGGGGGGAGGAGGAGGAGGAAGACAGGGTGACTGTCCATGCCGGCCTCGACGGGGCCACGGCCGTGGCCAAGGCAACGGCGTATGCCGCCCGCCTGCAAGAGCTGCGACAGGCGGGCCTGCGGGCCGAGAGCGCCTTCACTCTCCTGCGGACCTTCGCCCGCGGATGCGTCACGCACCACCTCCGCGCCAACCTTCAGGGGGGCTGGACGGAGCAGCTGGACCGCGTTCAGTGCGGCTGCCTGGAGGAGATCGCCGGTGGAACCTTGGACCCCCAACAGCGGCTCCTGGCCACGCTGCGCCTTACCGACGGCGGATACGCGTTCCCCTCGGCTACCCAGACGGCGCCTGCTGCCTACGCTGCTAGATGGGCCCTCCTCCTTCACGACGTGATGGCCTGCCTCGGAGCCAGCTCGCTAGAGGAATTCCGAGCCCGTTGCCCGCGGACACAACAGACGCTCGACCAGGCGGAGGCAGCCCTCCAGGCAGCAGACGCCCTTCAGGCGCCTTTCGACTGGATAGGCTGCACAGCAGAAACACGGCCCAAGCTGCAGAAACACTGGGGCAAGACGGCCTCCGCGGCCAACAGGGAGAAGCTGCTGCGGACGCTCGACGAGGACCGCCGCCTACGCTTGCAAGGGAACGGAGGCACGGGCGCCGGCAGCTGGCTCCTCCCGCGCCAGCCAAACGACCCCCGCCAGCCCGACCCGCATTTTTGAGGCAACCTGAAGCGGCGCCTCTGCATCCCGGTCTGTCCCCCTGGCTCACGCTGCCAGCACCGCCGCCAGGACGGCAGCATGTGCAACGAGCTCCTGGACCCGCACGGCTGGCACGCAGTCTAATGCGATGTGGGTGATTCCCGCAACAAGCGCCACAACAGCTGCCGCGACTGGCACTCTGCGAAGCACGCCGAGCTAAGCGGCTTCGCCGCGCCCACGGAGCAAGCCGCTCCCGCCTCGACTCGCCGACACCCCCGCACGGGAGTGTTCCAGCAAGCGGTTCTGGACCTCTCCACCAACGACCCAGCCACCGGACGCCACATCTACGTCGACTGGAGAATCACCTGCGTACACTCAACTCAACCTATACGCTCCACGCAGGGGTGACCGGGCCGACAAGGCATGGTTTGGCGGCCGCCCAAGCGGTGGACAAGAAGCGGGAGCGGCACCCCCCGCTCGGGGGCGAGCTGGCCCCCCTAGTCTTCGAGACGGGGGGCCGTCCCAGCGACGAGGCAGCCAGCTTCGTCCGCAGCTACTGAACCGGCCTCGACGACGGCGATCGCTCCGAGCTGCTGGGCAGCCTCTGGCGGCAGATCAGCAGAACCCTCCAAAAGGGTAATGCTGAGATGCTGCTGAGCGCGGTCGGGCGCCAGGCCGGCGGCCCCTCGGCACGGCCACCGCCAGCTGAACCACCGCCGGCGCGGCAACCACCGCGACCGCCACCAGCGCCGCGACCACAACCGCCACCTACACGACAACCACCGCCGCCACCACCAGCACCACGACGCCG